TATTGTTGCGTTTGACCATGGGCGGCCCCAATTGCTTATCTAATGTCTGGTAATCCAAAGGCTTGTTTGCTGTCCTATTAGGTAGGTATATGAACCAATATTTTCATTGATTAGTTACAGCATTAAGCCAAAGCATTTAGTTCATTTTAACCCTAAAAATGCACTACTGAAACGTTATACATACTTATCTAGATGAATTGTTCGTCAGTGAAGCTAGATGTTAGTTCCAAAATGTTGATACCTCCTTATGAAGAGGAACGAGCGAGAAACTCCATAGTGTAAGATACTCGAGCTAATAGTTTTCCTAACAGGTAGGTGGCACCTCGGTAGTAAAATGAACAGTCAATAATTGTAGTCTACTTGTAACCTATTTTTATTCTAGATAGCGTGCCTTGTGTGTTTACAATACCACCATGTAGTGCAGCAGGTAAATGCTTTGTTTACGCTCCAATGCAAATAAATAAGTAAATAAACACAGTTTCTGTTACTGCTCGCCTATGTGGGGTAGGATAGTATAAAATAAACTATGTTAAGTATTTAATATCATCATAAGCTTAGATACAAGTATAAGTGGCACTGCCAAACAAAGGCCTCTTCTCACACGGAAAAGGAATAACCAATTAACCCACCTGGCATGCTTAAGGCGGATTGGCGATTTCTAACTTAGAACTTTAAGTTTAAAGTCCAGCGAGAGAAACGGCCGGTATAGGCCGGTGATTTCCGGCCACCACGTAAGCGCGGGTTTGCGGACGACGGGTACCTAAGTATCTAAGGTTAGCTCGCCGCTAGACCAGAAACGTTCCGCGAGCGCCATAAAGAGTAGGTACTACAGATCACTACAGATGGAGCAAAATAGGACTGATGTTCAGCTGTGATTGCGTGGCAAGTGCAATAGGGTAGGGGAGGAAGGCAATGGCTTTTAGTCAGCAGGAGAATGACTTTCCGCACCTCATCCTGGGCGAGAGAAGTTATGTATACTTATAATGATTCTCAACCCTCAAAAATAGAAGTAGGTATTGCAGCGTTAACCCTTAGGTATATTCTTACTCGGAATGCGAGAAATAAATGTTTTTTTTTTACTGAAAAACCTCTCTAGGGTTTTCTTATGGGTCATCGCTGCGCTTACAAACATACCACGCCAGAACCGAAACAACAATATGTGGATCACACAAAGAGTCGTTCCGTGCGGGAGTCGAACCCGCGATCAGTTGCACAGCCAACCATCCGGCCAACCGGCCAACTGTGAAGTAGTAGGCTTCACGGTTGGCCGGATGGCTGTCTCTATCTTTGTGAAAAATTCATTAGGTAGACACTGCACATTTAATATAGACTTGGACAGAACAAGGATAACTGGCTAAATAACAATTTACCAGGCAAATGCATAATTTCCTGTTCAGCTCGCGCAAGGAGGAAATGACACGTTAGTTTAAGTTAGGCCCAGAATTAGGAAGTTACGTAGGTACCTACCCACTTATCACGTTTACCACCTAGATTTTCTAAATAAAACCTTTTTAGGTTCGGTTATTTTTTTATAATTTCAAATTCCAAGATATTATTATGTAGGTAGGTATCTACGTAGGTACCCACATAACTACTGAACGATGACGACACCGTTGCCCGATCGCGGTTTCGGTTGCGAATCTAAACAAGCAGCAAATCATCAATCGGCAGCGCCTCAGCAACTATAGCCGAAAGCCAAACTAAAGGGTCAAGGAACCGCTGCCTGGAGCAGTAGAGGAACGACGGGCTTTTTAGTCTCTTACTGAGTCTGACATTCTCTCTCACCTCACCCTGGGCGAGAGAAATCTTGTGATGATTTTCCTCTTCTTTATTATAACTTTCGTGAGACATACTAAATTAATTATTATGTTTTAAGCATAATAATTAGGTGGTGATTTTCCTCTTTCAAACAAGGTGGTATCTAAGTCCTACTCTTGTTGCGGTCAGTACAGTTAGTATTCATACCACACCGAGTACCATAGGTATTAGGTCGTTTGAAAACGAAACTCTGTCATAAGTAAACATACCTAGAATCTACTAATCTAACTATAAAAGGATAGAACAAACTAGAGTTTACAACGTCCTCCCTATAGGATCTCAGATTTCGCAAACACCTAACATATCTACGTAACTACATTTTATACAACGATATCTAATAATATATAGGTACCTACCTATAGATTCAATACGTTTACAACGCGTGCAAATCATAAATAAAGAGGGCACGAACCCGCAACTTAAAAAGTTATAATAACACGTCGTTGCTTCGTGATCACTTGTGTCGGTTCCTACAAACTTTTCCTTGCTCGTTTGTGTTTGGAGGAAAACTGTTATTGCTGTATAGTTTCGTTGGAAGCATGGTGTTACAAGTTTTGTATTGGTAGTAGTCCAACGCTCAATGTTCTGCGAAGTTACAATGAACGAACTTGATTATTGTGAACCTCTCATAATGAGCAATCATAGATTTTTTGTGTAGGCACTTTAATGATATGGTTTCTGAAAAGACCAAAAATTAGATAACTAGTTTGAAAAAAAAATCACAAGCCTACCTTTGTTGTGCAGTACGTATAAACTGTTTAAATTACAGTGGTTTGAAAACAACTTTATTGTAAAGCAAATCTGGAAAAAAGCCGATGTGAAAATATGTCCATAGGTAGGTACATATATATGTGAATAGGTAACTTTCTTAGTAAAAACATATTCTAAATCCAATCAATAAAAGTCAAATATTATTTACACACTTTATTGAATTAACATAATGAAAACAAACATTAATATCATATTGAAATGAAACTCATGACAGTATACTGTAACCGTGAGTACAACATTTATATTCATAACATTTAATCAATTCAATACACAAAACGATTAGATATGTAGATAATTACAGTGATATTCGAAAGATATGACACGAGAACATCGAGACAAGTGAGAACATAATGTAGATTACACCTTGCATCTGTAGTACATTTAGAAGCAGTAAAGAATAAATCATTTATTACGAGGTTTGATAAAAATATGTGCAAGTTATTGTTTAATATTACACTATGCACATTCCCTATCTATGGCGACATCCGGACAAACGAACGCTACATGAATTTATCCGCACAACCAATTTATTACTACAATAAGCTCTCACTCTCAACACTTCAACGTTTCTCTTTACACCCCTTTTACATAATCGCGTCTTGTTGTTGCTGCCCATACCTTACTGTTCAAATCCTGCGAAATACAATCAATAGAATTGATTCCTACAGGGAAGCAGGGATTCAATACTAGAGTGCCGCATGTCGCCGACTGTGAATATAATGTCCATCAAATTGTTTCTAGTTTAATCTAACTTTTAATTAGGTACCGGGTATTGCATGGCATATGATGTGGCATTCAGCGCCATAAATATATCAACATTTCACTGCAGCTGCAGCATCAATAACTTTACCTTATATTGACTAGAGATATTAGTCGCTTTAGAGATCACTAAACACAAATATCCAACCACCGCCCACTTCCCAACACTATGTCAGTATATTTATGTCATTGATTGAAACCAATAAAGTCTATGTATACGAAATAACATTTGTAGAACAATAGACCTTTAAAACGTTTACTAATTATATTGAATACAAAAATTAAATGCTTATTGAAATAACAGCAGTGAAACAAAAACATTCGATATCTTTCTTGTGTTTTTGATATTACAATTCTTAACTATACTCAGTCAATAATTACTATTAACTTTAATACTAAACAGGTGTCGAAACTGTCAAATGAATAACCTACGCACATACACAATGACAGAAAATAAGATAGCAGATCTAAATTGATAATTATATAAACATACACTGAGCAGGTATGTTCGTATACTTGTACAATAATATTAATGAAATAGAATTTATTCATTCCGCCATACGCATCGATCTCTACAGACATTAAATGTTAATATTGTGAAGACTAAAATGAATAGGTAAAATATTTTCTATAATATAGGATATTTAGAATTGGACTATTAAGTTGTGTAGATGATCCTCTGTATCGTGGTACCCTGTTCACTACTAGTGTAGCATGTATGTGAACAATGTATATTTCGCCTAATACGAGTACTGAAACAGGTCAGGCGAGTATATTACCGAATAATGTTTACTGTATTACAATTACACAACCTTTTTACCCGATTGTGTTCAACCTGTATAGATAATATTAGGGATACATAGCAAAATATTGAGTAAGTACATACAATGAGTGTAATAATATAAATATAATAATGTCATTAATAAAATCGCCAACGAAGTGGTATCATCTTAAGCATTTAGTAAAATATTTAAATATAGTAATGTAGTAATGTCAAATTTTAATATTATTAAACCGTATTAAATTCAAGGGATTCTCGAAAACGGTGCAATAAGAACTTCAAATACATGTGCTAACACGAAAATTGTAAAGAAATTCACTATTACATTTATAAATATTTGCTAAGTTTGAATGTAATTACACTATACAGCGCTGTCTGACCCTGTCGATAAAGGCTATATAATTCATAACACGATCCGAAAGAAGTCCACAATCGTACAACTTACAGTTCAAAATAATTTGAAGAAAATCTAAGAACAAAAGGCACTAACTTTTAGTTTAGTGACTTAAATATATTACGAACATTTGAAACATAGAAATAACGAGGATAAAACTGATATCTGATTACACAGTAAATAATAATAAAATCTCATACAAGGTGAGGGATCATGGAGCGACTGTGTCGTTATGACACCTCGTCATAGCTTCAGCTATGTGTCATAAATGTTTAGCCTTGCTTATACGTCTGATGGCACAGCGATACTCTCAACATTACCTAAATAAACATTCCTGTATAACACCCAATCCAATAAAATCATCGACATATAACTGTATATAACTTATTCAATATGTTTTAGAACACGATACGTACTTTGTAGAAAGTCAGAGAAACTTAAGAACAAGTAAATGAGTATGTGATTAGAAATAAGTAGATAATACAGTGTTACGTATCGTGCCTATGACATATTTGGTGCGATTAAAATAATTAAGATGCTCCATATGTATTCAATATAATATACATACTTACGTAGTACATAAAGCACACTAAATTATAATATTGCTTATCGAACAACAGAAAACAAAGTAAACTTCATTTCGCCTAGCTTACATCAACATTGACAAAATTGAGCAAATCAAAATAACAATAACAATACGAATCATAATAGTAGCTATAATTATATAATGAGTATAATAAAGATTACATCGATTGCTGTGATTACTATAAATTACAACTGAACGTAGTAATACGAGGATATAATTAAAAATTATCACTAGTTATTATTTTATTCGCTAATAATTTAAAATTGCATTGACCTAAAGTTTTATTTAATTATCATTGACAACACCGACGAATTGATACTTCCTTTTGTTTGAAAGTATTTGCGTTACAATAACCTTTTAGTTTATATAAGTGTGTGTCGCCTGTGCGCCACCCGGCGCGAGGTTGGCGCGAGGCGGGCGCGCCTCGATGTTCCGTCTCCAACTAGAAGCGTGCTCTACTAACTACTACCTGCATCACTATCCGACAACGCGATATACATCCTGACGTAGCTCTTGCACAAAAGTGCAACCCCGAACGTTAATCACAGCTATGAAATCTCTTCTCTTTAGTAAATTACGTTTTTTTTTCAAAATTATCTTTTCACAAATTTATATCTATAGAATAATTCTATTTTAACCTGTGTGACACTTACTTTACGAAGCTCTATACATTGTCTTAATTGCAATTTAATAGACTATAAATAATTGATTTTATCAAAAATTTTATTGCTACGTTAATTTACTTGAAGCACACAAAAATATTTGAAAACTTTGAGAGAGGTGCGAACAAAAATAAACATTCAATTATCTTCATATAACGCAAATACCAATAGAAAACATAATTTTGACTAGCATTATATAATTTCTTAATTTTTTCTACTTTCAGAACAATTTGACTAGCATATCGATATCGACCGACGATTTTAACGAAATACCAACTAATTTTCAATACTATCGACGTCACATTAAAATACACATAATTAAGGTAGGGTGGGTGATTAACGCCCGCTGCGCATTTACGCCCAGATGGCAGAAAACATACTAAATATAAAAATATTCCGTTACTACTCCACGCACACTTAGAATGAACCAATAAGAAACCGCAAAACAAGCGGCGACGCGCTCACGCCATTATCCGCGGCAGTGTGACGCCGCGTTCCGGCAGGATCGGACATGTACCACGCTGTTATAAAAAGTACCGGAACGAAATTGTGAGTGGTTTTATGTGTTTTTTTGCGTTTTGGGTTAATTTTTAAGATTTAATTGCTTCAAGATAAACTTAGTTCACTATTGCCTGAATGTTTGGCGTAGATTTCTATGTTTTTTTCCATAAACGTGCCATTTGAATCAGCGTCCGATAATAACGCCCAGCTGGGTAATAACGCCCGTTAAAATAACGGTTGGGCGCTATTACACTACACGGGCGTTATAACCATAACCATAAATAGAGCATTTCTAATTTCAGAAACTACTAAAAAAATGAGTACCTATACATTGATATACTGAACATTAAATTAATTATCGACGCGATCAATATAACCTCAAATATTGTTTTCTTATACTTCATTGTTTATGCTTTAAGATATTTTTAATAAGATATATATTGACATATAAAGGAAATATTTCCATTACATTATTTTTTATATTTTTAGATATAAAGATGTCGCCTCGTAAAAAGAGGGGAGAATCTTGGTCAGAAGACGATTTGAAAGCCGCTTTGAGAGCTGTTAAAAAAGGGAAATTAAGTCAGCGAGCCATATCTCTCAAGTATAACATTCCGCGACGAACATTGAGGGACCATATGAAAACCGGCCAAGACGTAAAACGTATGGGACGAAAACCTATTTTAACAGAGGCTCAGGAAAATGATTTGTGTGGTAGAATCAAAAGGTTTGCAAAAATCGGAATACCTCTCTCACACCTAAATTTATCAGAAAACAAGCCTTTATGTTTTGCGAGAGATTTGACATAAAAAATAATTTCAATTCTACAAAAAGGATTGCGGGTGCTGATTGGCTAAGGCAGTTTTTAAAGCGAAACCCAACGATCACTAAACGAAAGCCACAAATATTAAACCCAGCGCGAGCTCAAAAACTTAACAAAGCAATAGTTAGGGAACATTTTCAGAATGTAAAAGAAATATACGAACCATTAGATATTCTTCAACATCCTGAAAGACTATACAACATGGATGAGAAGGGTTGCCGAATTACAGTCCACAACCAGCACACGGTACTTGCGGAGAAAGGAAGTAAAAGAGTACATCTTATTGCACCCGAACATGCCGAAAATGTGACCATAGCAATGTGTGTTAATGCCATAGGAACCGCGATTCCTCCCATGATTCTTTTTAAAGGGCAAAGACAAAGACCAGACCTTTCAGAAAACTTACCTGCCGGAACTTTAGTAAGAATGGCGCCGAAAGGGTCCATGACTGCCGATTTGTTTGTAGAATTTATCCAGCACCTAGCCAAATACAAAGTTGCGGGAAAATGTTTACTTGTTTTTGATGGCGCTAAGTGTCACTTATCAGTTGAAGCACTCGAAGAAGCTGATAATAATGACATAGTGCTATACTGCCTTCCTTCAAATACAACCCATGAATTACAGCCTCTGGATAAGTCCGTAAACAAGTCTTTTGAACATCATTGGGACGAAGAAGTCTTAAACTATTTATGTGCAAGCGCCGACAGAACACTCACAAAAGCTACATTCAATAAAATATTTACTAGAGTTTGGCCCAAGTGTATGACGCACAGCAATATAGTCAATGGGTTCAAGGCAACCGGTCTCTTTCCCTTCGATCCCCAAGTTATACCAGAGGAAGCATTTGCCCCATCTGTTTTGTCGGAAATGCCATGCCCGCGAACCCAGGAACCTCTGCAGAATCTCATTTTAAACTCATTAGATGATAGCACTGATAGTGATGACATTAATGAAGATCATGATCACCATTTGGCTTTAGTTACTGAGTTATCTACTATTCAGAGAAAATCTGACTTACTTAATGAAAATATTAACCCAGTTAAGTCCCGTCTTGTGGATTACAGCTCGTCATCCGATAATTCTGACATAGCATCAATTTGGCCGAACCTTAAATCACAAGTTATGATAGAAGAAGATCGTGATTCACCTTCCTTAATACCAGATACCAACTTAATTGGTATTTCTCAATTTGATTCCTCACACTACAATGGCGATAAACATTTAGGACAACATGATCTGGCCGTTCCCAGCTGTTCAGGATTACAAAAATCTTTACGTGACGATCCGGGTTCTGATTCAACGATTTCTGATTTGGATTCATTCGTTACTAGGCCTCTTTTCAATCAATCCAAATATGTTGCTGATCATATCTATAACTACACATCAGACGAATCATCAAGAGATGGAAGTCAGTGTCATCTCAACAAAGGAACAAAAACACCGAAAAAACAAATGATCTGTCCTATTCAAAATGAAACTTGCAACCTAGATGAAGACAACGTACCATTAGCCAGTTTACAACAAGAGAATAAAACGCAATTTCAACAATTCCTACCTACGCCTAATTATGCAAAAAATAAATCTTCAAAACCACGTAAGAAAGCGATGAACTATAAAGGGCAAAGAATCACTAAGGATTTATTCAATGATAAAACTGAAACTAAAAAATCTAATAAACAAAATTACAGTAGCATGAAGAAAACTAAGAAAGAGCAGAAAAAGCTACACATTTCTAAAACACAAAAGACGAATGACAAAAGAGAAGAAAAAATAAGTGAGAAGAAATTAGAAGAAAGACGTGAAAAAGAAAACAAAGCGAAAGACACTAAAAATAAGACTAAGAATAAAAAGAAGATGAACGGGAATAGCGATGAAGTCTGGTACTGTAATGCTTGTGGTGAGATAGAGGAGTTAGACATGGCGCAATGCATAGTATGTAAGAGATGGTACCATGAGGAATGCGTAGGCCTCTCCGAATGTGATATAGAGTTTATTTGTCCATATTGTTAAAAAAAAGTATAGTTTCTATAAGACTGATTAATGTAACTTCAGACTGACTATTTTATGTAAGACATACTTTATTATGATTATCTGGCAATTTTAGTTTAATTGTTATATAAACAGTTAATACTTTTTTCGACAGAGTAGTCGAACTCTATTGACTAGACTTTTTTTAATACTTATTACTATTGGGCGTTATTACCCACTAACGATGTAATTGCGCCCAATGAACATTTAAAAAATATCTTAATTCTGCTTTAAAAATGATTAGTACGCCTTGTGCTCACGATAGGTTATTTGAAAATTATTAAAAAGTTCCTTAAATATGACTAAATACAAAGATACGACGTGTTATGAGGTGTATTCTTAAGTTGGGCAAAGTCTATATTAAATGTTGATTTTATTTGTTTATTTTTAGTGTAATCACGATAGTACAAAGTAAGATTTCGTAAGTTACCTAATTTTTTTTTGTTTTAAACCTAGTTGTTTAATTAAAGCTTAGTTTAAAAAACGGGCGTCAATGGACGCATACTTTTTAATAACGCCCAAATAAATGTTTTTTAAAAAGCAGGCTATTAATAAGTATTATGAGTAAAACTCACTGTAATGTGCCATTATATGTAGAATAAATAAACATAATTTATTTAGAAAGGTGTTTTTCTTCCATAACTATTGAAATACCAAAAATATTTGAAATTAAAGTTAGGTGGGCGTTAATCACCCACTGTACCTTATGTAAATAAATTTTTGACACAACTTTGGCACAATCATTAATTACTGAAATACTGCGGGGGAAGACTTGGGAAATATGTTTTCGGGATATGTTTCGAGAATATTACTTCTAACCGAGAAATCTTATAACTAGGGTGCAAAATTAATAAGTAGTGGATAATAATACAGTAATCGCTTACGTAATCCTATAAACTTGATACTTTTACTGTTATATTATACCATGTCGAGAAATACACGTGTGCATGTGTAGTGCACACGATATGCCTTAGTTACAAGTTGCAGTTTATATATTTTGGCACTCGATCCCTTCGTGGCCGGCACGTTGGCACTTCATCTTCCACAGATAATGACATGTCACTGAAACGCTTCTCAATACAGTGGTCCTATAGTTATCTTACTCTACGTTAAACTAAGTGTACTTTTTTTTTACTTTTTTTGGAAATATTTGATTACCACAGGACTATATTTGATCTAAGACTAAATACAATGAGCAGTCTGGAGAGGGTGATAAAATAATTCAAATCAATCGTTTTACATTACACCACTAAACATTAACTACTCTCAGAATAATTTAGCATAAATCCACAACATTATTAATGTTAAACAAACTTTAACAATCTTTGGCTTTGATCCCTAGACCAATATTAATTATTCGACTTCAATTTTCCAGTAGCCGATGTATCCTACACATTGTGTATACGTTAGAGATCTTAATAGTTCAAATGTTAAATAAATTAGAAGACTATCACATTTAGCAACACTATTTTTATACCTAACGTCTTTTGTGATATTAGACGATTTTAAATGATATACTGAAATGTTATCTTCTCCTCTGTCTTCGTTTTAAAGTAAGTTACTTAAAGGATTTGATCCCATCGGTTTCGTATCGCCGCGCCGCGCCCGAGCGCCGCTTCTGTTACTGTAACACCTAATTCTCAGGTAATTACGATTATTTTATTTACAAATATTGTCTTTAAACCCTCTCACTCTGTTCGCTAATCTAACACTACGCTACGTCAGCGGGTCCGAGGTCGATTGTAACGCATCTACACCTACCTAATGTACGCCGACACTCGATTTACCTTAGTTTGAACATTATTATTTGTGGTCGGTACTGATCATAATGGAAAATAAATCCAATAGACAATTGATATACTCAACCGCTTAAATCCATAGTAAATTCGATCAGCTTAGCTAACTCCAGTTGCATACTTTGTTATAAATTCATAAGCCGTGACCAGTGAACGAGACAAATCATTATAAATATTTAACTATTTAAAATAAGTGTTTTGTGAAGTTATATTACAAGCTCACTGTTCACGGATTAGCAAAAATTTTAAAATGTCAGTCGTAAGTTTACTTTTATAATAATTCATATTCAAACCCCTTCCCCAGATCTCACTGATATATAAACCACTGACATGTTCTGCTCCAATCAATCAAATACAGTGGAGAATAAATATAAGAATATCTAAAATACTTATAAACTCGTAACAAATGTAAACATACATTCAGCGTGGATCTAATGTCTTGCCAATAGCGTCACCTCGTTTTACAGAGATTGTTTTGGTCACGTTCATTTGAAGAAATATATCGGAGCCAGAGTCCCGTATTGCGGCTGCATCAGAAAGGTGCGTTCAGTGTGGTACATTTTGTACGCAACGCCGGAATTCTGGCCGCGGAGCCCCATTCAATGGATCGGTGCCTTCACGATATGGTTCGGGGCGATGTAGTGGTAGCCAGGCAGGGGCAGCCCGGCCGTCTCCATCGTGATCCTGGAACACGTTATTCACACGTTACTCGAAGTCCACACACCAAGCTAAGTCACATCGGTCAAACATTCGTAAACAGTGTCAAATCCATTCATTGGGACATATCAAACAAGTTTCGTTTTGGGTCAAAATATAACGATCAAAGAACAGCTTGGATGGAAATGGAGTTCATAGGATGAAGCAGTAACAGGTTGAGACGTAAAGCCCGTTCATAGAAACGTAAGTAAGAATACATGGAAACACTAGGATTTAAATTAAATGTAAGGAAATCTCTTACCAGGACATTGGATGATCCAGCAGTAGGATAGTACACGATGGAGCAAAGTTCTGCATGTCGGGTATTCACGGGAATGGTTGGTGCCGTGGGTGGGCAGGATTGTGGCGTGGGTTCTTCAAGGAAGCTTTGTGTTCGGAACCTTAACTATACATGTTACCTGCACTTAACACTAAACCGTCGACTCTGTCAGACAAAACTGTTATCAATAAAAAACAAACGCGTACTATTATTATTTTTATTAAGTATGTACTTTAAAACAATACACTTTTGCTTAACGATTCTAGCGAGTAATATAAACCTGAAACGAATAAGAAAACGTTTACTACCTTAAAATTAACATGATTTTAATTACAAATAAAAAGTTATATTGACAGCTAAATAATCTGCATTCCCTACGGAACTACATTTAGAAACATACGAATTGGACCTCAATTTTAAATTCGCACTAATTAATAAAATAATGTAGTGACATTACAACGCCATTACCTAACTAATCTGCTATAGCCTCGCTATATCTAACGTAACGGCGTTGTCTGCCTTATACTTAATAAGGTCACCTAAATATAAAACAGTCCAAACTACTTACAATAACCTTGAGAATCATAAGTAGCTATAAATGTATAATAAATAATAAAAATATCCAACATTCCCATTCCTATTGGAATATATTTGGCGCAAGTAGAAATGACTCATACAACTACAAACAAATCACTTTCTTGGTATTATAACAAAATTAAAGTTGCACACAGATCATCCGATAGCATCATAAAACTATAAATTATAACAATACCATGCATGACATCTATCACTTATAATAAACCAATCATTTTATTGCTTTGCTTTCCGACAGCTAACGCGATTGGCTGATCATAATATTACCAACCAATCAAATCAGCCGCCAGCATTGTCAACCAATCATATTGCGTTGCATGTTTCTGTTATAAAATTTATAGTTTTACAAAACTGTACTAAAAGTGCTCTTTGATTTCTAAAATGCGTCGAAAATAAAGGAACATTAACTTAGCAACGGATAGATTAAGTTGTAAACTCAAATAGTCAAACTAAGTGATTTTTTTTTATTATTATTAATAGTTTTGTCAAAAATTCTAATTTGATCTTCCATTTAAAATGTGTATACAGAGGTATTGTCATCAAACAATACTTCACGATAATGTTTAAATGAATGTTTACAAATGAGGCGAAATACAATTATTATATACTTATAGTCCGAGTTTTTATTTGATTCAGGCAACTGAAAGTGTTTACTGGAATTTGAGCAGTAATGATTCCATACTTAGCAGTTCGAATAAAGGAAATGAAAGAATTACTTTTAGTTTAGACAGTTCAAAACAAAAGAAAAGATAATAATTAATGTAAAATCCAAAAAAACGTATAAGAGAAAAAAAAGTGTCTTGATGATATGATCGCAGAAAAATAAAAAAACTAAAAACATTGTCAGAACAAGGATTTGAATCGATTCGATTCCGTGTTCGATTAATTAGATAAACTGAATCGAATAAAAAATCGGAATATAAGTAGCATTCGTTTCTAGAATCGTCTAAAGCTAGAAGTATCGTTTGATGTACTCTCCTGATTGCGACACCCTGTATTTTGATTCCAAATAGACATTTCATTACATCTGAACGCAAAGCACTCTGTATATTCTACAGCCATTAGCTTCTACGTACTTCTACTATTGTCAAGATCCCTAGTTGTATTCGTAATTATTTCACTTTCCCGTCGTAAGTCCATCTTGTAACGTTAGTCACTATGCACTTAGTATTACCATCGTGATTTTATTTCATTGTTATGATGATATCTTACTTCCCGGATACTTAAATCTTAATTTTATAGTTATCAAAATCGACATTTAATATCTTAGATAATGTTTATTTCGTCGTCGAGGTATTATTTCGTCATATAAAAGCTTTCTCTAGCGCAGTCATGCTAAAAATACATGTTGTGATTGATTAATTTTAAATAGAAAATCAATAATTGTTACAGTATTGTTTATATTGAAAGAGGTTTAAATATATTTAAACCATCATAGAATCTGAATCGCGAGAGAATACATTGTTAAAAAGAGTTATTATTTAGTAACAAAAGTGTTTAAATCGTCCATATATTGAACGAACGAACAAATTAAAAAAGATGAAAACAGATTTCTCAAAATGTTATACTGCTTTTATTTACTCTTAGAAATAATATTTAACGATAATTATGGATAATGGATGACTGTCACAGAGGGCGTGGCGTTACCACCGATAGAGGTGACCGAGCGAAACGCGAGTTCCATCGAGTTATGTACTACGGCCGCGCCCGCAGCGGGCTCCTACAGTGACGACACTAAGCTTCACCCGGCTCGTACATATCGCAAAATCTAACGATGACAATTGTAGTTACATGATTTGAGAGTAACATGAATAAGACGAAACGATGGCGATCAGTTGGCGGCATCCCGGTACGCCGTGCACCGCTAGTAGGGGTTGTACTTGTTGCGGTCCTTGGAGGACTTGGCGGGCGCGTCGTCGTCCTGGCGGCGCGAGTACTTGTGCGCGTGCGAGCGGTGCACGCCCGTGGTCTGCACGGGCCCGGCGGCCGGCGCCAGCAGCTCGGACAGGCCGCCCAGCGCCGACAGCGAGCTCAGCGCGCCCAGCGCGCCCGACTTGCTGAGCAGCTGCGCCAGCGGGATGGCGGACGCCAGCGGGCTGGGCGACGTCGAGGTGCCCGACCCGCTCGTCCCACTACCCTCCAGATTCGCCTTCTGAAGCTCCACACTGCCGGAGCGGGACAGGAATGTTGTACAGGGTCAGGCGACCTCTGGGCCTATTCGACTACACGCGAACGCGGACTATACGACGCTGGCCCGAGTCTCAGAGCGGATGGTACTTTGTCATTTATTTCATTACTATCATGTTGATTTTATTTGCAACTTTGGTGATATTTGTGCAAGGTGCGACATGTTCCGGTATTTATTCAAAAGTTGTAAAAGCTGACGCGATTAAATATGTTCCGATATTTATTTATACCTAAGTCTAAACAGCTGACGCAAATACACACGTTTTGCGTGGGAGCGACAAAAATAATGTAATATGAATGATACACACATCGATTTAAACCATTGTGTTGTTATGTAAAACATATTTCACAAAGGTTACATTATAAATAATTGATTGCTAGTAAAGATGAAATGAGTTAAGAAGCCAATGAAGTGTAATTGTTATAATCAAAATAAAAGATTTTCCAGCCGTAAGTGTTAAAAAACGAGCACTCGATTAAATTTGGATATATTTACAAGAAAATAAAAAATAAAAAGTCTATCCACTACTCGGGTCAGACGCGTTTATCTCCAAAAACATTTTTAATTAAAACGAATACGATATCGAAACGGCCCATAAGGTAAGATAAATCAGAAGGAATATTGAGGATAATAAAATAAAATCGACCTTAAGGGTGGACTAGGCAATTTATGGGGCATGAACGGGCAAAATAATACTCCTAGGAGTTTGGATGGATATTCTGTAGGCAGGGAAGATAAAACTTTGTTATTAGTGACATGTCCTTACCTCATGTTGATGAGATACTGGGCCAGTGCTACGGAGTCAGGGTTGCCAGAAATAGTGATGGTTCGGTCAGTGCTGCCACCCTCTCGCTCTTCACAATTAGATATCCGGATCATAGCGCCGGATATTTGTCGGATTTCTGCGATCTTGGTACCGCCCTGAAGATGGTGATTTTTACGTTATACATAACATACAGTTAAAATAAAATATATAATTTAGGAGGGATCTGTATTTAGTTTTTATAATAGGGATATTGATTTGGGGATAAGGGTTCGGAGAGAGGAGAGATTGGGCCTCCGGTACGCTCCTCCTCGTTCACGCAGGTTTTCAGTGAGGCCATAGTATCATTCCGGTCGAGGCGACCCATTCGTGCCGAAGTATGGCTCTGTCACACTTATCAATTCTACGTGAAAATTAAAAAGAAACCAGTGAACAATGAACCTACCTTTCCGATGATGCAGCCTATCAATTCATTGGGTACTGTCATCTCATGCGATTGCTGATTGGTCGCGGGTTGGTTGCGAGACTGGTTTGATGTGCGCAGTTGTGAGCCAGCTAAAGCTGCTAACGCTGAAAAAAATACAAATAACTATTATTAAACAATCTTTATAGATACTACACACTTCGACTCACGCACTGAGTTTTTAGTCAACCAAGTTATTTGGTATGGAGGATAGAAAAAAAAGGTTGATTTAGTACAGAGAGTAACCATTGATTACTAAGCCGTATGTTTACTACTAAAACAAATGGTGACTAGTTTTTTTCAAACACACTTTAATATAGAAATAGCTTCTCTCTTGTTTGAGGAAAATCTTCAAATTACTTCTCCCTCCCTGGGTGGGGCAAAAGGGGAGTGTCAGGCTCTTATCCCCCTAATACAAAATAAGATTTATCTTTAGTCTAGGTTTAAACCAGTCAGATTTTGTATTTTGAATCTTATTCTCTCCTACCTTCAATTTGAAATACAAAAACTGGCACAATGATTTAGACCTAGACTAGAGAAAGACCTCGTTTTGTAATAAGGTCGTAAATGACTAAAAACCACTCCGTTCCTTCTTCAGCCAGGGGCGCATACATTATTGTTTGTACCTGCAACCCAGCCTGGACTGTCTCTTTATTGAATCAATATTTATTCACTTGCATACTAAATACTTGGCTGACTGTATACATAGGTGCATAGGATGAAATTTGTAAATAATAAAATGATTGGAAATTGTTAAACTAAGTACAGTGCGTGGGACTTTTATGAAGCATTTGTTACTATGTAAATTAAAAAGTAATAATGTGTTTAGCTAGTGAAAATACTAGTGTAAGGACTGGTGTTTAAAATTATAATTAATCTAAGTGCATACTGAGTAACAGTAAAGCGCCTCATACCAGTGTAATTTGATAAAAAAAATAGTTGCAAGATAAGGTTGGGGGTTTGTTAAATTGCTAATATGTTGATTAATAAAAATAAATAAGTATTAAGCATATGAAACGCTTTAATGCTATGAAATGAACATAAGGTCCTATTTTCTATATCATGAACTTTGTATCAATTACAGTTTTGTAGTTGTGTAGCACATTCCTTAGCATGGCTTTCAAACAATACTTTATTTAAAGAAAAGAGAGGTTCAATAAACGAATTAGACTTCTAGCATTAGTTTTTAAATGTTCAGTGCACTTTTAGTAACTTATATTTCAATAGGTTAACCTTCTACACTCGCGAGCAAAAGTATGGAATCACTTACTTGGAATTGAATCCTCGCGATCTTAAGTTCTTAATAACTAGTTAAGAATAATAAAAATGGTACCATTTAAAAGGTTAAACTGTTAAAAATAAAAATTTAATGGTACCATTTTTATTATTCTTAACTAGTTATTAAGTACTTAAGATCGCGAGGATTCAATTCCAAGTAAGTGATTCCATACTTTTGCTCGCGAGTGTAGATTCTATCATTTTGATACATTTGCCAAAGTTAAAATATAAACATTTATTGCAAACAGGCTCTTGGGAATGTCAAATAAAATAAATATGAAAAGTGGCAGTCTGTCGATGAGCCATTTAATGATAATACTGATTGTTCCAATCTGTAGTCTTTTTATGAGAATATGAAATAGAATGGGCAAAAACTTGGTGGTTACTTTTTGTCAACATTCATCCTATTAATATTATAAATGTGAATGTTTTTGACTATGTTTGTATATTCTTTCACACAAAATCGACTGCACCGATTTGATTGATATTTTGTTTGTAGATAGGATTAACACATAGGCACATTCATTAACACATCACACAGGCGAAAGCTAGTCATGTATATGTTATGTTCAAATTTACTGACAGTGGAGACACATAGAAAACAAGACCTTACACAATAACATATAAACATATAAAGGACATGCAAAATAATAATGTTAGTATGGATTTAAAAATAGTAATACATACTTAGGCTCTGTTTACCTGCTGGGTTAAGTCCGGCGGCATTTGCTGGACCTAAGCCGCCTAGACCTAAGGCGGCTAGCCCGGCCAGGGGTGACTTAGCCAGACCTCCCATCTAGAAACAAATTTGATAAGTTAGTATCTATTTATGTTTTGTTTTTATAAGCACAAGTTAGTGTGCGATTGTGTATCAGAAGTTAGACCTGTGAAATATTTCAATTAAAGGTTTTTAATACGCTGTGAAAAAATATGTAATGTAGCAAAATTAATGAAAAAATCACTATGATTAGGATTTCGAATAAAATCATTGTATATTGTACTGTAACGCTTCAGTCATTTTTCTGATACCCAATCATCCCATTTTATTTAACCTGTGCTTAAACAAGATTAATAAATTCCCAATCCAACCTTTAGATCTACAATTTCATATTGCGTTTCATACAATTATTTTAGTAAGTAAATACTAAAATAATTGTGAATAAATATACAATTTGGAAAAGTATCATCTTTATGTATACATACTACAAAATTAGTATATTTTACAAGACAATACGAGTTTCATACAAGGAAGAAGAAATCGTACTACACAGTGTGAAATTTCATTCTCCGAGAATTTTTCTAAACATATTCCATAACAGTTTACTAGGTATAAATTTATTTTATATATCAATAAGCTCCAGCTGCTTGTTTTCGTCTTCTCTGACATAGCCGGGATGGGATCGCTGGATAGGGTTACCTGGGTAGAAACTAGTTTACAAAGTAAATACCAAAATCTAGGAAAAATCGCAATGCTCCACCAGTTAAGACATAACGTATGATTAATTCAGTGTTCAAAACAAAACTACAAAAACAAACACTTGAACTAAACATACTCATTGTCCAGCCAATCGTTACAGATTGGAGAGGCATGGATTTGCGAATCTTCATAGTAATCTCAGAAAAAAATTAAATCCACATCGTGAGTAGAATGGTGCTGCCCATAAAATGCACCTTGAAATTAAACAAAAAGGCAAACTTGATTGTACTCTAATATAAACTTGTATAACGTTAAGCCATGCGCGACCATGGTTAATCACCATTATTATTTAATCGTGTGGAAAATAAAAGAAAACGATGGAAAGGCAAGGCAGAGGCAAAATAAGGAGAGGTGCAAGTACAGGAACGTTTTGTAACAATTTCAACATCGCTGATAGGTGCGCGAGCCGTATGAAGTACATTACGCTCGTATCTCGGCAATGCCAGAAAACAAACAGATAAAGCTTTGAATGTGAATGTTTTATCACTACACGACTATAAATACATTCGGTTCAAAAGTGCTAAGATTACATTCTAAACTACGGATCGATACAATATGGAAAACATTGGAATGATACAATGGGGGTCACGTGCAACAAGAAAGAAATACCTAGGAGTTTCAAGCGTAAAGTGCAAGAGAGCAGCGTAAATAGTACGGAGGTCATTCCTAGAGTCCACAGCACCGGGGCACTACGTCTATAGTACAGGGTTAATTCATGGCCGCTACGGGGATTCGACACCACACATCCAATTCGAGGGGATTCTGGGGCAGCACCAATCACATAACGTCACTCAGTCCACACAGCCTCATAGAGAACTATTGCTTGTTTCAATTCAAGGTTTCACTAGAAGATCTTCATTTGTACTACGTAACAGGAAAGTAGAACATTCTGGTATCGTCTACGGGGTAAGGTTTAGCATAATAGTGTTTTACCGAATTGGTTCAGCATTCATTAAGTAGGTACGTGAAGATCTTACAAGTTGTGTTTGTTCCCACCGAGACAGCGCACCGATTTGCGGGATTATGGCTATCCTACATGCATGATCGTACATGGAGAATAAGTAACCTTATTTAACTAGTTTCTCTGTTCGATAGGAAATGAAAACCGCGTTAACGTCCCAATAGTTTTTTTTACTATCATCGTACATCTTGCAATTTGTTCAATGACCAAAATCATTTTTTGTTTATTACATACTTAGATACGCTTTAGTTTTAATTTTGAACCCGACAGAAATAATTTCAATGAACATAAAAACATTTTGGTCTCATAAAAGATTTTTTCCGGTCCGCCATTTTAATGTAAACATGTCATTTTGAGATAGAACTGATTGCAATATGGCCGACGTTATGTAGAATGTGTGTAGCGTAGGGGCAGTGTCTCGGTGGGTCCCTAGGAGGCGGGGACTCCGCGCACTCACGAGGTGGTGGTCGTGCAGCGGCGGCGGGAGCAGATGGTGGGGCGGCAGGGCGCCCACGAGCGGGGGCTTCACCTCCAGCACGGGGAACACTGGCGCGCACACCGCCTGCGCACACTCGCACTAGCATCCAGCACTCTGCTTTTTCGCCGATATGATATTTGCTTTTGCGAACAACTATCCCTATCCCAGCTTTAGACTTATTTAGAGTATGAGACCAACTTTTCCCTAATCCATCCTACCATCCTTACAAATATTATTTTGAATTGAAAAGTGAGTTTGTTTGTTTGTTTGTACCGCTTTCACGCCGTAACTACTGAACCGACTGGTTTACAATTATGCAAACGTAAAGATAGAAGTCCGGATTAAATAAAAGGGTACTTTTAATCCCAAAAAAACAGAAAGAAATATTGTCAGCTTTATATCAAGTTCGGTGATAGATGGCGCTGTGTGTCGTTTAATATATTGCAAACGAATATAGACATGTAAAATTTCTAACCCTTTGATAACACATGATGGACAAGTTTTTAATATAAAATATTGTAACACCGTGTTGGACCTGATTAGAATACTGTTGGGTTTTAAATTCTACTGAGTTCAAATTAAAGAAAGTGAAAACGATTGCGTGATACGCAAGTAAGGCTGTATCTATTCTGTGGTGACGTCACACCGACCAAAAAGTTGAGTGCATTTTGTAAAATTGAAGACACGACGCTGAAGACATTTTGTTGAACATATTTTAAACAGATAACTCAATATTTAACAAGTTTTGAATAATAAGAACAGAAGAAGTCTTTCAAATAAAGCTTGAATAAAAATTGGTTCGTAAATTTATCCTTTAAATTTTGATTGTTATTTGGCTGTTTTTACGACGAGAGTAATCATTTTTCGCCATCGCATCTTTCTATTTCATAAAAATGAGTGCCTAGTTGAAAAAAATCTGCTGTTCCAAACATTTTACAATTTTAGAGTATTACCAACTAAAAATAATCAGTGTTGCCAATTTAGTACACATATTACTTCTTTGAAAACATTGTTTTGAATTTTAAAGACCTATTTTTCAATAATTTTTTTTGGTTTATAGTCAGATTATTAATTATTATTTGGTATTTAACTTACATCTTGTGCAGGTACGGCGTAGTTGCCTTGAATTGTGTATGCCTGTCCACCGGCTAATATGACTGGGCCGGCTACATTTGGCTTTGGTCTGTAGGGAATTGTCGCGCCTTTTGGTGGGCTCTGAAACAATTAAATTAAGGAAATGTTTAAACTGGTGGCGCTAGTGTTATATACTACTTGACTACGGCTGTAGTGTTGGCTTGTATTTATGAAGTTGGTTAAAAAGGATCATTTGCTTTAATGACGTCAACTAGTATTTGAAATTCGTAGGTCTGTTTTTGAAAAGGCCTTCTGATCTATACTGATACATGACAAGGGGTTTTTATTCATGATCAGGCGACGTCGCACAACTGATTGTTGCCATATGTGCCGTTTTGACTTGAGATATGTAGAGCTTTTCTCAGTCGATCCATGTTAGTAAGTCGTTAAATTTGAATTAAAATGACTTATGTTAACTATTTATTATAATTTACATAAACTTGTGCGAGTTTAGTCATTATTATTTCACTTTGATTCGAATAACAGGGTGGGTATATAATATCTACGTTGTGTTTAGAAGTAAATATAGATGCATCTAATGCATGCCGCAATAATGTCTACAAACATAGCCGTTTTTATTTAATTCCACGGCGTGCACGCTCTTCATAATTAAGAGTTTCGTGGCGATTTGGAACGCGTTCTCACTGCAAGTTTGCTTTACGTTAATTTAGGCAACATACAGGAATATGACGTTCAGTGCTCTGATTGGCTAGCTCCAAGTTAACCAACCAATCCGAAAACGATAACGTTTTAGATCGACTACTCATTAGACTGAGGTCTTCTCATTCATTTTGAGAGTTCCTATGCTCAATATATTTTTTATGTCTCACAATAGTTATTTATTATACAATAACGTTAACCTCTTAAAAGGTAACAGTATAGAAAATGATCTTACCTCTAGCATAACGCAGCAGATGTGATAAATGCATTGTGTGATAGCGTCGCACGTCCCACTGATGGTCACGGCTCGCTCTGTTGAGTTCGGTAGCATTTCGCTCGCCACCTGGAACAAATATTATTCATTAGATATATGTATGTCTACAAATACTTATTTGAGTATGGAGTAGAATAGTTTTGCTATTCGTCTCTATTCTTTCTGCGCGTTCGGTAAGAGATCGGGTAGCAAAACTTATATAAACCTTAATCTTTTTTTTTTAAATATAGTAGGTCGGCAAACGAGCAGACGGATTACCTGATGGTAAGCAATCAGCGCCGCCCATGGACACTCGCAACGGAGGAGTTACAAGTGCGTTGCCGACCTTTTAGGGATTAGGGTATGGAGATTTAGGGATTGAGGAGGGATTGGGGGAGGGGAAGGATTGGGCCTCCGGTAACCTCCATCACACGGCGAAACACAACGCTGTGGTTATTTCACGCCGGTTTTCTGAGAGGCCGTGGTATCACTCCGGTCGAGCTGACCCATTCGTGCCGAAGCATGGCTCTCCCACACTTAATTTCAATCAACCCGTTCTCAAACGGCCAAAGCCATAACCTCCACATACAAGAGGTTTATAATTAAGATGTGACATAAAACATAACATTTTACCGGGTAGATGACCTTTTCCACTGTATTTAAAATGCTAAAGTTCATTCAAATCATGTTAGGATTAAGAGACAACCCGCTAACCTAGTCAAGAAATTACCTACGAAAAATACTAAGCTATTTATTTTAATTCCGTCGGAGCAAGATGATCGTCAATTATAACAAAAACTGTACTAGGAAGACAGAAAAAGAAAAAAATAGATCCGCAAGAATGTTCTGTCTGAAAGCATTTAACTTTTATTTAGGATTCGAATAAAAATAGAGCAAATCTTTGGCCATGTTGGTATTAACATTAATTTGAATACGACCTTGGATCAATATCAAACATGTTTACAGAGGCGTAGTACAGTTGCAAAATATATCTGCATATTAAAATCCTGCAGTTTCCAACAAGTCAATTTGAATAATTTTATTGAAATGTCAAAAACTACGTTTTTTTTTCTATTAATTTTGTATGAATTATCCCGTCATCATGTGTTTGCGTCATATTAGCATACTACATTGGCAAATCAATGAAAGAAATCATCCTTATATTTATATAATTCATTGTAAGTGTAGAGAAATGTAAAAAAAAATTTGAGCTGGCACGCTACCCTATTGCATTCCAGCTCTGTACTGTAAGCAATGGGTGCATCAAAGATTTGGTTATGTCACTTACTGAACTTCTTAAGTAAAACATGCCATTTATGCATCAACTGTGTATTGAAAAATGTAAACAAATAAGTTTCTTATATCTTAAGTCTTCTTTCTCAATAAGTGGCTCATATTTCAAAACACTTAGTACTTCGACTGATTCTGCCAACGAAAAAGAAGACATACGCAAAGTTCGCGTTAATGGCTAGTCTATCGTGTAGTTCATGGACACTGAGATTACAAATATGCAAAGAATTATTATGACAGCAATTCAAGTAACTATAATACCATAAACTTCACTGGATTTAAGACCTTATTTTAGAACACATAGAGCTGAATTTCTGTTTGACTGTATAAGTTGCGGTTAGAGGAAGTGGGCGGACCGACGCTTGCGCATAACTTTAACTTAAATGTTCTTGAACTTGTATTCAAAACAGTTTATCTTAGCCTCAATCGATTTAAAATACTAAGTTTCCGTTTTAAGGCTAAGGTTGCTCTTATTACATGCAAAATCGAATGATTCAGACCCGTTCAGAGCCTTTAGTATTAGTAAATCGATTGTTTTGGTTATAATTAAGTTTTATAAATTCAATATTACGTGCGAATAATTATTCCGTGCTGGAATCTAACCTACGCCACAACCAATTATTTACAGTTAATATTTCTTGTAGAATTACCTCCCAAAAGTGCTAAACAGATTTAGACTACCTTTATAATAGGAAGGGCAGTTAGAACAACGGAGAGCTAATACATTAATTTTTAAAAACATTAGAAAGGAAAAATACGGGCCTACATTAAACTTTTATGTTTGATAAAAATCTATGATCGAGCAAAAGAATAGGTATCGCGGACAGAAGATAGTAACTATAATGACAAAGTCTTTTGTTTAGTGATCTACTATTGTCACCATTACGTGTTTTCGAGTTTCGTATTATTATTACAATAAGAGAATGACACCGAATGACTCATTTATGCGACTACTCGCTTTGAGTGAGGTAACTATCATTTTACCTTATTCGATGTCACGTTAATTCACGTTCCGGTTGAGATCTTCTCAATACGGCGACCACCATTTCTGTTATAGTAACGGACACTGACTTTCTCCAGGTTTCATATTCGTTTCTCGTTCTTCTAGGCTTTTCACTTATACTATTGTGGTTTTTTCCTCAAAAGACCTCTGAGACTCAAGTTGCATTGTTTTCCTTACATTATTTTTATTTGTCTGGACTTCAAAAGAGAAGTTGAGTGTCCCCTGAGTTAGTTCATGTTTTCTCAAAGTAAGAAAGAAAGAAAAGAAGAAACGCCGGTCTGACGTTTGTTTAATTTAAACATTTACGTGTAGAAGTTTAACTTTTTAATTATATGCTTTTTTTGGTTTCTGAAGCAGTATTTTAGACATATAATTATGTCTCAGATTTTGTCATTCGAGATTATTGTCAACGCTAGGCACATATTTATAATTTGCACTACTTATTAGTAGTAATTTTAGAAAAAAAACCCTAAGTTTTGTTCCACCTAGTAAATCCGATTACAGAGCTCTTGTTGGACCTTCTCACACAGAACAAAGCAGTCATTTATGCTTCTATACCAAGATTAAGATTTCTACTAAAGTTTTGCTAACTTCACAAAACAATATTGGTATGTTTATCGAACCTGTATGTTAGCACCGGTAACGTCGCGGATCTCCTTGATCTTGGAGCCGCCCTTGCCGATGAGGGAGCCGCATTGCGAGGCGGGGACGATGAGCCGCAGCGTGATGGGGGCGCGGGACCCACCGCCACCACCCTCGTTGAACTGCGAGCACCACTGGAACAATACAATGGTAATTAGAATAAGCAAAGGGAGGCTCTTTTGTGAGGGGAAAATCATCGAATAACTTGTGTCACCCAGGATGAGGCTGGAAAGAGTGTCCGACTCTACTGACTAAAAACCCCTCCGTTCCTTCACCTGCTTTAGGCCGAGGCCGCGGTACTTTATTGCGTTTCCCGCAATCCCGGCTGAACATCGGCCTCGTAGGGCCTTATCTAAGGTGGTCTACTGGGTGAAGTCTTTCTAAAATTGACTTAGATATTCGGTTGACGCGGTGGTCGGGCAACCGGCCGTAGTTCAACGTTTCGGACGCTTCGATTTTTGAGGTTTAGGATGAGCGAGCCGCATTGCGAAACCCGAAACTTACTTTTTAGTAATTGACGTAAGTTCATTTGCATCGATTACACTACAGGTAGTCTAGTATGCATATAATTAACAATTTCTAAGAAAGTGTACCAGTTAGGACATTAATTGCTAGACATCTTTCATTCCTAATTACAAACCCCGTCGATTGACGAATGTTTCATCACTGGCAGCCACACCATGTTTCGAAAATGGCGGACGGATCAAGTGTGCCAAAGGAGGTCGATGATCTTTTAGAAAAAAATATAGGTAAGTACAAACCTCTTCAAATTTTTTGCATATGAGTGTGAATGCTTTGAATATAGCACTTGTGTTGCCAGTAACAGTGACAATCCGTTCTGGGCACGATCCATCGGAAATGTTGATTTTTGCTCCAGACTGAAAACGATAATAAATTATTAAAATTAATAGACCAATGCATAACATTGATAAGCAGTGTAATACTGAAAATGTTCTAAGCAAATTAAGATAGATCTAAGTACAGGGAACTTTTTCAAGATTATTACTTGACATACTCTTTCGATAATTACGCAAAGTTGTGATAAAGTGGTTCTACATCCTTTCGATTGAAACTTGAAAAACTTACCTCTTCTCTGAACCTTTTAACAATCTCTCCTTTTTTGCCAATAATACTGCCAACTTCCTGCAAACAAACAGAAACCGTGTTAAACTTAGAACAAGTGTTATATTCGTTTTAATTAAAATGGTCATCCAAAAGAACCAAAGGGACTGGTACATTGGCAAGTATTGTGCAACGGGCGCACGCACATGTAATTAATGTAGTCGCGCTGAGATTTATAGTACAAAAGATTTCCTGTCTGGTATCCAATAATAGTAACTGCATAGAGATTCTTTACTGCAGGCAGACGCATCGGGGTTGCGATGAGACGGTTTTAGAGGCCTGCGGTATCAGATCGGTGCTGGCAAGTGAGCAGCATGACTTCTACAGTATGTGAACAATGCTATTGCTCAACGCCGCCGCTTACACGACACGAATAGCAAACAATATCAAACAAACCCGACGGCACAAACATCTCTCGCGACGATTGACACTGACCAATTTCACTGCTGATTTATCTATGAATTATTTACTAAGCTATCATAAATAATTGATTCTACACTAAGAACTTCGTTTCACTTTCTGTTTTAAGACGAATTGCAGCGTGATGAAGAAAAGTCGGTGAAAACAGAAATGGGTAGTTCACTCTTGCGTAAATATTGATTTGTTTACATCAATTTTTTTGAAGACCGCAAAAAATATCATGTAGCATAATAATATTATAAAGTAAAATTAATCAAGTGGAATGTTTACAATAAATAATTAGTAAAGAAAATACGGGTGCTAGTTAGCTATTCAGGAGTACAAAAATACATCGATCTCAGACTGCGATTAAGGAAGTGGGCAGAGACAAACACAATGACAACATTAAATATCACACATTACTCCAATTAGAAAAAGGTACAAATCGAAGTTTGATGAACAGGGCGAGTGCCAATAGCTGGCCAGTTGCCAAATGTACTTTGTATTGGATTACAGCCAATTAAAAGTACCTACATCTAAAAGTTTGTATAGGTAGAAGTTAACATCAATACATCTAACATGTCAGTGCAATCTAGCGACATCTAGGTGTGCTAAATTAGGGGAGCTGTTGAGTAATGAGAGCTTAAATAAAACAGTTACGATGTGATGTGAATTATATCGTGCTAATAAACAAAGTGTTATGTCAAATACATGCAACTTTGAACTTTATATGTATGATTCATGAGGAGTTTATTTAACCCGATGCAGTAATAAGGGGTTGTTAGAAATAATAAAATGAAAGCCTAGTTGTTAAGCAAGCCTACATGGTTAAACAGGATATTGCGTTGAGCAGCCCTACAAGTGTGTGTACCCTAACAAGATTGAAATACCAAAGTCATATTAGATTACCATATGTTTAAACAAATATGTACAACTCTTTCACTTAACTCAGTATTTATTTTAATTTAATGGCCCTCTTTCACTATGTCTAAAAAATTGCTATGTAACAGATAAATTTGAATATAGACAGGAATTTGTTTGATCCATATACTTACTACATAAGTTTATCAGGAACTTATGTGAAGGGGGTAAAACAAGCATTTAGATAATTTATTACTGTAAACTAAAATATTATATTGACAACCTAACAAATTTTTTATGAAAATGTTATCCATAATAGAAGCAGGTACTATGGCCAATGCCAAGCAATAACAAAGTTTAAAAGTTACATTCATAATAATTTAACAATATATTTCTTATCAATTTCAAATTTAACTATAACATTTGAAATAAAATTTAAGATCACATAAGTTATGTGGTATTAAATTTAAATACATATTGCTATGTAGCATAGCATAACTTTTGAACCACATAGGGTTCAGTAGAAATGAACATATAAAATCTAAGAATAATATTTTTTATTCTAAAAACCCCATCAAGTGATTAAGAAAATAATATTCAACTTGATTAAAAAATTAAATGTTCTGCCATTTTTATGATTGCTTAAGTCCATAATATAAGCGATAGACAAGAAAAAATGGTCTATATTTCTGCAAAAAAGTTTATATATCATTTTGTCATATAATCATTCTAAACCTGTAAATAAACATTAGTTAGCAGTTTGCATAACTTTAATATTATATATTATTCATATAATAAAACTAGAAATGCATCAATCAACAAATATTATTTGGTATGTAAGAATTTGTTAGTACGAAATCCATAATTTAGTTTTAAGTACAACCTACCACTACTTAATTGTGTTTTAATATATTGCAATTACCAGGAGGGCATTATTTATGTACCTATTTGTTTATTTAATAATGATACTTGTTCATTTAAAATTATTATCAATATTTATTCTTTTATCACTGTCTACCATACATTACACTAATATTTGTTAAAACAACAAACTGAGTTGTGTGAAAACATACAATATAAATAGTTATGTGTACAAAGCATTTGACCTGAGCCAGATTGAAAAGGATCATTGTATCTCTGACATTGAAGTCAAAACAATGATTTATGTGATAAGTGTGTTAAGTAGGAATGCAAGGATTGAAACTAGTTTTAACATTAAGTAATAAAAAAATACCACATGTAAGCTTGCTGAGTCAAATTTATGCTGACTGTTTTTTATAATGAATTTTAAATTAAATGCTCAATCTACAACAAAACTACAGTTTCAAAATATTTCCAGATAATCAAGAAACATTAACTAATCACTAAATTAGTAACACTACTATTACCAAGTAATTTAACTACTTAAGAGGAATTTAGAAGAAGGTAAAGTGTACACTTTCACAATTTGAAAATAATTAAAAGTAAATGTTATTTTTAATAAAAGTGTGCCAATTTTGGAAAATAATCAAGTGTTCATTCTCTTACCTTCCCCTGCATAATCAGTCTGATAGTGAGGGTAACTTTGGAGTCTTCCTCGTGGAGAGTAGGGGCTTTCTCCAGTTCCATGCTGGAGCAGGTGTCCGTAGTGTCGCGCGGAATTTTGGCTGCGTACAGGGCTACGTGTGGGCACAGGGGACACTCCACTCAATCTAATGGCTGGGACTCTGGGGCTCGTGGCACGCACTGCAGGCAGGGTAAGCTGGAAAACAGGCGCACATCTCAAAAGGAACGTCCATAGGTATCGAGCGAACTAAAGGTTTAGGGTGTATGGGCACTCGGCGATTTTTAAAAGCGAAGCCGATTACCGAATATTTATTTACAGTGACAGTCGATGGCAAGCGTAACGGAATGAGGACGGCAAATGAGGATCTAGACGCTATTATGAACTAACTGGTCTTAGGTCCGACCGGATTCTGCGGCTGTAACGCGAGGCGGCCCGCTCCGGACGGAGGGACCGTTACTTGAACTCCGATACCTGTTCGCGGCTCGCGACATAACCTCAGCGTCGCGCCTCATGGCTAGCCGACCAGGTTATCGATCCCAGTAATCCCAAACAATTCTCCCGACACTTGAGTTTTCACAACTTTCTTACCTCGTTTATTTTCCACGTTGCAACAATAACTTAACAAATCTTAACACTAGTATTATCACCAAGATGTGTATAAAAATCACACTTATCACAATTTTCTTTGTCACTTATAATTATAAAATTAAAATAAAACCCGACGGTGACGCGTCGGTGTGAAGCTTGTAATTGTCATAAACAATAGAGGATAGAGGGAAAAGCTGACTACAGCGCCTCTAGTGGCGGTGGGGAACAAAATTTGACAGCTGACATTTTGTCGGTAAAGCAGATATCTTTAGCTACCTTCATAGGTACGTTTCGTTTCGGTGAAAGTTTGTTGATGATTGTAAATCATCTGTTTATAAAGTTCAACTTGGTTTGTATTTTATGATAATTATTTACTTACTTATTAGCAAGTATATTTTGAAATTATTATTTGAATTTATGTATTTATTATGATTAACATAACGTTTGTAGTCACTACTCAAAAATAGTCATTTTTGAGTTGCTGCTGCGTTACGGGTCGTGAGTTCGATTCCCGAACGGAAGAACTTTTATTTTGATCCATAGATTGTTTTATTGTGGACCTAGGTACGATGCGTACATTAACCTGAATCTATGTAAACGCTCACATGATATCTGATATGAATTAAATAATTGAGTAGATATTTTTTGCCATTGCTGTGTCCTACGTAATTGAAGCGACCCTATTGCCTAATATTGGCACAATTCCAAACTTGGCTACTACTTTTCAATTGTAAGTTTGAGAAAAGAAAAATTCAATAACATTTCGGTAAGACCTGGCAATCGACTTTAGAATTTAATGTTCAGTTGGGTATACTCGCACTATTCTGTTGATTTACCTAAAAGTTGGTCAAAGGCCAAAGAAACAAAAAGTTTGTGGGTACATTTTTTTTTGTTGGTCTTCATACAGTCTCTCTAATCACTTGATAGTAAGCACATATTCGGCGTCGCGTGGGCGCACACATCACGTAAGGCTTTTATGAGTAAGTACATTGATAGTCATTCCAGGTTTGAGGTAGTTACAGTAACCTCACTAAAGTGTAAAACCTAAATTCAGCAGTAGACTTCGTGTGCCTGATATGATAAACCTCACGCAGCAAACCACATCGCAGAGGGTGTGGGTTCTGCGTCACAGTTGACAGAACAACAATTGGTGGTTATTGGTCACGGTCTGTATCTATGGTTGTAGGTACTCTTAGCCTACATAGCTGCTGGACACTGATCAGTGAGTCAACGTTCTACTTTCAAATTGTCATTTCCAGCTTGCAATTATCATTGTGATTATACCTAGTGTACCTACCTACCTAAGCCACCCTAAGCGCCTCCCAGCGTCCTGGCATTGGCAGTTATATCACTGTTAAATCGCAGGTATGATCCCCGTTGTTATAATAGTAATGTAGGTATCATTATTTCTTGAGGTTATCTTTATCTTAATTGTTGTATTCATCATTGAGGCGGAGCGCGTGAGGGAACTATCCTCCTCGCGCCCCAGCCGCCGCAGAAGGCGACATTCTGGGCGTCGGGGATCGAGAGATGATTCTCCGGCCACCGTAAGCGCGGGTCTGCAGACGCTAAGGGTAGCTCGCCGCCCGACCAGAACCAGACCCGAGCGTACGGCGCGGTACGTTCCGCGCGCGCCTCAAAGAGCCAATAGACACAGACGGGGCCCAACAGGGCTGATGTTCAGCCGGGGTTGCGGGGTAAGCCCAATGAGGCACCGCGACCTCGGCCCAGAGTAAGCGAAGGAACGGGGGGTTTTTAGTCAATAAGAGTCTGACACTCTCTCTCGCCTTACCCTGGCAGGGAGAAGCCATTGGATGATTTTCCCCTGACAAAAAAAGGTAGGTAAGGTATCTCAATATCAACCCATATAATATTTAAACATTTCAGACGGTTGTCTTTTAAAAACATTTGTAGTCAGCTTAGCTTTACATGTTGTTATTATTATTACATTGGTAACCAAAGAATTTTTGTTTTGAGTTGTGGGTAAGTATTTAATTTATAGAGACGTAGCTGAGGCGGTATTCCTACCGCATGCATGTGTACGAATCACGCGGCAGTAAGCATTTTATTTTAACGATGCGGCTGAGTAGCAATACTGTAGGTATAAGTAGATGGTATTACCGTACCTCAGACCTAACCTAACATGTTTTACGGTGTCGTCGTAAGTAGTGACATCTATACATCGCAGTTTCACCCTGAGATTGCTACGTTCATTGACACTGGTTGGCACACACTGAAATGCCACGCTTGGCCGGCGAATTGATTTCAAAATGTTTTGTTTCTTTATTTATCAAGTGTTATTTATTATTAGTTAGCTATAATTAATCTTGATCTTTGAGTTGCGAACGCTAGGTGTAATTACCTAGGTACATACTGTATTACTAAATGTAATGAGATAGAAACCTAATCATTTACTTCCAATGTTTTGACCTCGAATTTTCAATATTAGGTATCACTATCAGACGTAAGAGTCATCTATCGAACTTACTATTAAACTAATTAAGAAAAATCGTTGAAGTAAATATAAAGACTAGAGAAAGTAAACAATAGGGTAACTATTCTATTTGTCCCTTCCACCTTTCTAGGAAGATATTAAAACACTGAATAAAATGCTGTAGAGGTTTTTTTAAAGAGAAGTTTAGTAAAAATAAGAAAAAAATGTCTCTGGTCTCCGCACGCCAATATTGAAGTTGAATGCTTTGTCCCATGCAAATTCGTTCCCCGTTTATTGTCGGTCGGCGGGATATTTCCTGAGGTAAGCTGCACATAAACATACCTACTAACTCTAGACTGGTTTAGAAAAAGCTGAAGCGGTTACGCTTCAACTTTAATTAATTCAAGTGATGTCGATGAATTTTTAAAATATTCCACTCAGATTCCCGATAATAAGTCAAAATAATACCTCTTTTATTGAGATCATTTAAGAGTTTTTTATAAAACATTAAAGTTCTTCATGTATGTAAATGGCTGGTTATAACATACCTACTAAGGATTGTTTAGTCATACATTGCTCACAATGTTCGTAAGTTAGTTTTTGAGGCCATAATAGTTACCAATATGCGTACCTATGGATGATTTTTTTTTTGTTTATTGTATTTTCCACTCTTAAATAGGTAGGTAACTACAACTAATAGCGACTGACTGAAGCTAGATAACGTTTTTTACCTAGGCCAAAAAGGGTTAAGACCACAGTGAATATTAATATAAAGACTGGCTCCGTGCGTAAGACCTAAGACACATTTATATTCATGCAAGTGATTTAGTGAACAATTTTCTTAGTTTAAAAAAGATTGACAAGAACATTAAATAAAGTAGCCCCCGATGAACCCTTGAGAGGCTGGATGAAAAACTTTAAGTGGAATATAAGTACACAAACAGCCTTCGATTATAGAACTGAGGAAAATGCTCACAAGTTTACGGGACATAAAAGAGTGAGATTGAAAAGGTTTTAATTGAAATCGCCTTGGGGTTATGGAGAGTCTTTGCTTTGTAAAAAGTCCTACTTACTTCGTGCTTATTGAACACATTGCGATCGATTATAACTTGCCTCATGTTCAGAATCTTTTCGTTATGATAAAACGAGAGCATTATTACCTTTTTTATGTCATGTTTACAGCATATAATTACGCGGGTATTAACGCGAAAAGTACCTAATTATTTAAACACCTTGGTAGGCTTGACGTTTCGACCTGGTTGCACAGGTCGTGGTCTCAAGCAGACTGAAAACACAATGTATACACAGCTCCCTGCATTCGGGCGATGAATCTTCATCTACCCCTTTATTTTGATTTTCTAGCATGTTAGGCCGCCTACATATTACACTTACGCCTGTGCTTACGCTGACCGTATCCACAGATGTGTTAACCGATTTTGAAGGAAAGCGAGGTCGTGTTATGTGAATCACTGGAGTCCGCGTTTTTTATTTGGTCTTTGGTTTGATTTAAATGTAACAAAGAATTAATTTTATTAAGTAGTTACCAAATTACCGGTTTTTATAAGGTAGCGTAGGTGATTACAATATACTTACTTAAATAGTTCAAGACACATCACACCATCGGCCTACACGTGCCCACTGCTGAGCAAGATCTTTTCACACGAAAAAGGTTTGAGTATTAACGTATTAATTACCACGCTTGCTCAGGGCCAATTGGCGATTTCAAACTTATAATCAGAAAAATGCAAAATCTGTCAATGTTGCCAGCATTGATAGCATAATTATAATAACGCAAACATGACTTGCGAATATACTTCATTTCTTTTCAAAAAACATTTTGTTAATTCAGTAAATATCAAAATAAATCTTTAAAATTAAAATTCCGCGTAACCTCATTATGTATGTGCTTCGTTTCAGTTTATTTCAACTGAGTTCAAAGTATCACAACCTGCTTCTACGAACGACTTTTTGATTGCTTACAACACTCCACGAAAGATATTTTTTCAATTACCGAAATGTTGCCAGTGTGTAATTCTCTTTTTGATTGAACATGTTTGATTCTTTTTTTAACGGAAAAAAGCGAAGCAAAAAGTACGTTGGTGTGTATGCACAAATTGAAATATTGTTGTTTGTTTCATTGAGAATATTAAAATTGCGAACGAAGAAAGCTGGAATATCTGATTTAAGATCAAAATTTAATTTTAATCTTAATGAAAAATTACTCGAGATTTACCTTTCGTAAGGATCAAACTTTACGAAACCTGCTAACTATGCTTTCAGGTATTATTTAGACGTGTAAAGTATAGTTACCTATATAGTATACCTATATGTACGTCTATGAATAGAACGAAATCTATCTACAGAAAAATATGAACATTGTATGTAATTTCCATTAAATTAAAACAACTATCCAAGCGTTATTCTGGCGACCATGTTTATATATTAAATGAGTCCTTATTTAGTTGTCTCTTTATTTCCGCAAAAAAAAGTTTAAGGACGGAAAAAAACAGAGACTGTTCTTGGGAAGATTCCCAACACTAATGGACTGCTTTATCCCTTGTTTGTACACTGTAGGATGACAAGCGTAGTGCTGCACCTAACGAATACTCGCTTTTCTCCGCTACACCCTGCTTTGCTTCACATTTCCCCCCTTCTACCCGCTGGCTTCGCTACACTCCGCTGGGTATGATTCAACCGAACGTTTGCAGAATATGCTTTTGCGCGATGAAAATAATAAAAGAAATAGTTTAATGACTTCCTTGCAT